CCCTTCCCGATTATTCTCACTTCTAACGCTCACACTAACCCCAAAGTGTGAGGACCACTGTCGTCACCATGAGATGAGGAAACTGAGGCCCCGAGAGCGTGGACGGCCTGCCCGGGGTTGCAAAGCGGGCGAGCAGCAAAGCGATGCTTTGAACACAAACATTTCTGACTCCAAAGCCTCCGTGCTTCCTTATTCTGTGCCTGGAGCAGCACACACATGCAGAAGGCTTGAGCAAGGCGACCCAGTGAGTGTGCAGGGAGCCGGACTACCTCATTTCAAATCCTGCCTCTCCCAGCTTCAGTGCTTGCTTGCCGGGGCCCAGGTGAGTCGATCATGGACACAGGACGCTTCCACCCACCTCTGAGAAAGAACCCTTCCTTCCAAGATTTCCCAGAAACCTGCTCACACAAACCCCCTCCTTCCTTCCCCTGAGTGAGGAGGAGGTGACCTGCCCAGGGACGGAGCCGTGGTGGGGCCGCCTTGTGTGGCCTGGGAGTCCTGGAAGCCTCCAGACTCGATCCAGGGGCCCCAGCGTGGCTGGAGCCTAACCAAGGACCGTCTCCACTCACTGGGGTTGCCAGAAGGAGCAGATGGGAAACCCAATGAAAGACAGACGGCTTGAATCCAGCAATATCTCTGCCAGGAGGAGGGGAACCTTTTTTAGGAAGAATCCCTGGGGAGGGGCGGAGGATTCGTGGGGGGCCGGAGCCAGCTAGAAATAGCTGTCGGCAACAACTACCAAGTGCTCTCGTTCTGGCGCTTTGCTGTGAGAAAGAAGGAATCGTCAATAACAGATCAATCACTGGAGCTTAACATCTTTTGATAAATGAGCTCACCTAGCACCAAGACCTGGGTTTCAAAAAAAAAAAAAAAAATCATCTACATGGAACGAAGCTGCTGGGGGGAAAGGCCGATTCCAGATCCGGGGCGGACATGGGGCGGTGTGGGTCTGCAACAGCTTGTGGGTGATGAGGAGTAACTGATGAAGAATGTCTTTAAATGACGGGGAGATGCAGAAAAAACAGGAGGGGCTCCCGCTGGCCAAATCTGGGATAACTTTATCCCTGAAATGAACCGTGACAATGATGGATAATAGCACTCTGGGGGTGGGGGGAGGGAAGCCATACGCTGGGTGCAGGCCAGGGAAGGGAACGCTGCTCCCTTCTGGAGAAGGGTCAGTATTAACGGGAGGTGGGCTAATCTCATTAGGAAATCACCAGCTGACCACCATCAGTGCACGCACTGACTTGGGCAAGGCCCAGGGATGGACGCGCCAGAACCGCTGGGTGACAGACTGATGGGGGCGACAGACTGACGGGGGCCGGCCACTCCTGCAGCCCGGAGCCCCGCCCACCTGCCCCACCGACAGCTGAGAGATGGCCAATAACCCAGGGTCAGGGGACAGGCCTCTACATACCAGGACAGACCTCCTCCACCAGGCCACCAAACCTCGCCTCACCTACAGGGACGAAAGGCTGCACGTGCTCCCTGGCATGAGGTGCCAAGAAAGACAGGGCAAACGTTTAACCCGATCCACCGGTGAGGGAGTCATCAGCCATTCCAAAGTCAGACTCTGCAAGGCATGGAGTTCTTCTGAAGGGCCCGTGTTCTGCTTCTGGCCTTGGCTGGCCAGCTCCCCGGGGTCTGGAACACACCCCAGTCCAACCTCCTGCCCTCCTCGCCCAGCAGACCCCTCCTCACCCCTCAGAACTCAGCCTAGACAGCACTGCAGTGGGCAAGAAGCCTGCCCCCACCCACAAACCACCACTCTGGCCCTAATGTATCTGCGTCAAAACTGGGTCACTTATCTGTTACACCCATGGATCGGATCAAGAGCGCCCCACCGCCCTCCCGCCCGGGGATGGGTAATGTGTCGCCTCATCTGGCTATATCAGCACTCAGGTGTTGTTCTTGAAAGAAAGGAGGGAAGGGGGGGAGGGAAAAGGGGGGAGGGAAGGGAAGAGGGAGGAGGGGGAGGAGAGTGGGGGAGAGAAGGGGAGGGGAGGGGAGGTGGGAGGTCACCTGACAGGTAACAAGGGCAGCCCTGTGCCCTGTTGCTCCTGGTAGAATTCTCTTGCTTCCCTCTGAGCTCCTACTGCTTAGTCGCTGATTGCCCCCGACTCCCCTTTGTGCAGGGGCTGGACCTCATCCAAGGAACCCACCCCCACCTCCCCTGCCCCCTGGCTTCCAGGATGGCTCAGCCAGCAGGAGACGGAGGGAAGGAAGCTGAGTGGGGGCTACTGCACCCCCACCCCCCAGCAGCACGCCGCGGACCAGGGTCACTGAGCTCCACTCAGTGGCCTCAGCTCTGGCCGGACGGGGGCCAGCCCCTCTCCCGTGGCCACAGCCACCACCTGCTCAGGTCCCAGCCTCCTGCTCTCAGCCACTGCAGGCATCGGGGCTTCCTACTGCTCCCCGAGCCTCACCTGCCTTGTGGGTCCCCCACCCCGGCTCCATAAATGGGGACTTCCTTAACGCCTTTCCCGTCATGCCTCTCTGGAATGGGTTAAATGGTGGCCCCAAAAAGGTACGCCCGCGGCCTAACCCCTGGAACCTGTCATGGTGACCTTCTTGGAAAGAGGGTCTTTGCTGATGTGGTTGGGTTAGGGACCTCGTGACAAGATGGTCCTGAACTTAAGGCGCGACAGAGGACAGACACACAGCTCAAAGGACCCCGTCTCCAGAGGGTAGAGACACAGTAAGGGGACCCCCGGGTCTGTCTCAGATTCCCTGCAGATGTCCACACTCCGCCCGGGGGCAACAAGCCCACCTTCTCCATCCACAGCCCTGCGCCAGCCACCCAGGGGAGCCCCACGGAGCCACCTGCTGCCGGAGCGGCAGTTCGGTGACCCGTCAGCCCCTCCAGCCACAACCCAGGGACAGGAGGTTCCGGGCCCATGCCAGGACATCCACCCCCGAGTCTCCAGCACCCCGTCTTCAGAGGCTCAGAACAGCACAAAGCTGCCACTGGAGACACATGCCACAATTTGGCAAAAGCACAGTTCCGCCCGAGAAAACACAGTGGGCGCTCGGGCTCTGCCAGGCTCGGCCCGGCTTTCTCCAGGTGTATACCTCCCCTCCCGTCACTCTGCCCCCGGGTCTGTCCAGGTCAGCCCAGCCCATGGTAGCAAGGGCCAAGGCGGGCAGCTTAGACAACAGACTCCCACTTCTCACAGCTCTGGAGGCTGGGGTCTGAGATCGGGGTGTCAGGGGCGCATTGCTGGTGGGGGCCCTGCTGCAGGCCGTCCCCGGACAGGCACCTGCTGGCTCTGTGCTCACACGGTGGACAGTGAGCGAGCTCTGGGGTCTCTTCCTTCAGGGCCCCCCACCTCGTGACCTCCTCTAGCCTTAACCACCTCTGCAAAGGCCCCGTCTCCAAATAACAGCTGCACTGGGGGCTGGGGCTTCAACATAGGAACTGGGGGCGACATCAGCCCATGGCAGGTGACTTTATCCTCTGTGGGTTTAGTGTGTTCAGCAAATCCCAAGGCCTCTTGGGATCTCATCTTTTGCATTTGGTCAAGTGCACAGCAGGCCCTGGGGATGGGAGGAGGGGGGCTCTGCTGCAGGCAGAAGCCCTCCCCCCACCCCCGCCCCTGCCCCTGAACAGAGCCCCACCTCCAGGGCATCCCAAATGCTAACCTGGCCGGTGGCAAAAGACTCCCTCCTTTGCCCCACTGGACTGGGCCCCAACCCGAGCCCACTAAGATTTGAACAAACACTCACATGGTTTCTAATGGCTCAACGATGACCTCCCCCCGCTCAAAGAGCCTGCCTGATCAAACGCAAGGCTGCGGGAAGAACCGAACTGAAGGTGGGCCCCTCGGGAGGGGAAGAGCCTAATTTCCACCACACAGTGAGAGACCCAGAGGGGCACCGCGTGGACCAGGCCCCCGCCTGCATTTTGTTCATCTGACACTGGCCTCCCACCCAGCGCACACGGGGTCTCCAAGGCTGAGCCAAATTTTCCTGCCATTCCTGCTCATCCAAAGCCCAAACCACGGTCACCCACACTTCTGTCCCTTTAACAAACTCACGTCTTCCTCTGTGCTTGTATTCCCCAGCGAATACACTTGAACTTGAACGAATTGGCTTACACAGTAGCCCAGGGCCGCGCACAGAGGTGCTGTGGGAGGGGGGTGGGGCCGGCAGGGGCTGGGGGTCCCAGTGGGTGCAGAGAGCCAGGCCGAGTGTGCCATGTGGCTTGTGGACCATGGGGCATGGAGTCCCCCAACGCTGACCTTGCCCCTCCCCCAGCAGGGGCTGGCTCTCCACACCATAGCTCCAGAAAGGTCCAGAACGCCTTGGAAGGCAGCAGCATGCCCATGAGCCTTTGCAACAGGGACATGCTGTTCTGCCGCCACACCGGTGTGGGGTCCCCACGATGGCTGGATGATGGTACTGCCCAGAAATGCCTCGGTGGGCCTGGTTCCCCAGCCCGGGGCCGACCCAAACGCTGTCCTACACCCCCACGGACCAGACACTCGCCCAGTGACCAATCCCTCCGCAGTGCCCATGGGGCTCCAACACCACAGACCTCGTGCACAGCCATCCATCCGCGTGGCCAAATCGCCTCTCATTCTCCAAACAAATGCTTCCTGGGTGCCGGCGACATGCCAGGCTCTGCAGCTGGGGGAGCTCACAGATCAGCAAACGAGAGAGGTGACCAGTCAAGGGCCCAGGTGTGGTGGGGCCCGTGACAGAGGGAAGGGCCCTGTCCTGGCCCCAGCATCAGGGGGGGCTCCCCAAATGCGCAGGGCAGGAAGGCAGGCTCCAGATCCAGGCACACTGGTTGGAAACCTCAGCTCTCCTTATACCAGTGACAAGACCCAGGTCCATTCTAAACCCTCTGAGCCTCAGTTTCCTCACCTGTAAAATGGGGCCCAAAGTCACACCAAAGCTGTGGGGTCGTGTGAGAGGCAAAGGAGAGGAATGTAAAGTGCTTACAGGCACAGCTCCTGGCCCAGGGCAAGAAGACAGTGAATCTCAGCCATCATTGGCATCACTGCTGTTATTCTAAGTAGAAACTTCAACCAGGAACAGGAGCATCAGGTGCAGAGGCCCCCAGGCAAGAGAGAGCGGCAGCACCCTCAAGACTGCAGGAGCTGGATCCAGCTGCTGCAGGGGTGCACGGGTGAGCGTGACAAAGACAGTCCCTCAGAGTCGAGGAAGGATGAGGGCCTTCTGAGTGCAACGGGGTTTTGAACAGACGTGGCACAGTCAGATTTGCCTGTGAGTGGAATCACTCTCGCTAAAGTGTGAAGGACACACTGGGATGTGAGAGGCGGATGAGGGAGGCGGAGGCTCTTGAGGATCCTGGCATGAGATGGTGGAAACCTGGGCCCAGCAAGTTGGAGGAGGTTGCTGCGGAGACAAGAGCCATCCAAGAGAGAGAAACAGTAAGAACAAGCACCTGCTAAGGTGGACGCGGTGAGGCCGAGGGGGCGTGGACCCGCTGACACCATCCTTCACCATCCATAGCTTCTGCAGGCACAGCCTGGGCCCGGCGGAGCGCTGAGGCTCTGCCATGCGAGGTCACTCCTGGCCAGGAACACGGGAGCCGGACCAGCACCAAACCCCGAGCAGCCCTGCGTGAGCATGCGGCACGGTGCCTCTCGCGTCCCTGCACACGAATGTAGATCATCAGTCTCCGCTGGGGACGGGAACCCGGGGGTAAGCGTTGTTACCCACATGACAGAGGTAGGAGGATTGCTCTGAGAGACGGATGTGATTAACAGCCAGGGGATTTGATTTATGAGGAAAGATCAAAAAGACCCGAATCTGGAGAGCCAGAGGGGTGAGAGCGTCAGAACCGGGGCATGGGGCACAGGGGGACGCTAGGAGCCAGGAGCTCCAGTGGGGGCTGATCTCTGGGGTGAAACCAGGAGGAAAGCTGACAAATGAGTATGCAGTCTGAAAGGAAGGGAACTTCCTGACGTGGGGATGGGCTTTCCTGCCAGGTCACAGGGACTCACGCGCAAGAAGCAGAGACCCGTGGCCCACACTCGGGACGTTCAGCACAAGGGCTGGCCGTGCACTCTCCTGGTGGGGGAAGCCAGGGGGGTGTGGAGAGGTGGAGGGACGCAGGACACGGGTCCTAATGGAGGTGACAGGTGGTTCTGTGACCCAGCCCTCGAAGAGGCCTGTAGCAGTCAGGGTTCTCCAGAGACAGAGCCTGTGTGCATGTGTGCACGTGCGTGTGGAGAAAGGTTTAGTCTAGGAATTGACTCACAAGATTGTGGGGGTCGGCCCGTCCACAGTCTGCAGGACAGGCCAGAGACCCAGAGAAACGTGGATGTTGCAGCTTGAGTCCCAAGGCCATCTGCTGGCAGAATTCCCTCCTCCTCCAGGGACGTTGGTCTTTTTTTTTTTTTTTTTTTTTTTGGCTAAAGCCTTCAACGGATTGGGTGAGGCCCACCTACATTATGAAGGGGTCATCTGCTTTACTGAATGTCTGCTGATTTAAATGTTAGTTCATTTTTAAAATATCATCACAGGGGCGCCTGGGTGGCTCAATCGTTAAGCGTCTGCCTTCGGCTCAGGTCATGATCCCAGGGTCCTGGGATCGAGCCCCACGTCGGGCTCCCTGCTCAGCAGGAAGCCTGCTTCTCCCTCTCCCACTCCCCCTGCTTGTGTTCCCTCTCTCACTGTGTCTCTGTCAAATAAATAAATAAAATCTTGAAAAAAAAATAAAAATAAAATATCATCACAGTGACATCTAGACTGGTGTTTCACCAAATACCTGGGTGCTGCAGCCTGGCAGCTATAATATTAACCATCGTGGGGTCCCTGTCGATGCACATTTGTTCTTACGGTCCCCCATGGGCCTGGCCCTGGGTAGGGGACATGGTGGCAGAGAACACTGGCCCTGCCCCCACAGAGCCCCTGCCATGATGTGGGGCGTGGATCAGCAGACAGCCCCTTCTCCCCGACCAAACGAGAGCCGGATGCAGGGTTTAGGCACGCCTCACCGAGAATGTGGGCTTTATCACAACTAAGCCATGATGAGACCTCAGAATGAAACTCACTCCCAGAGCCACAGGAGGCCTGAACAACCACAGGCCCCCACACCCACCCCGCCAGCTGGCCATGGTCCCAAGCGCTCTCCCACTCTCTGGGCAAATGGGCAGATCCTAAAAAGCATGAACAGGGAGCCACTGCAGGCGGGGCACCATCCTAAGTCCCATACAGACAGCTCACTGAATGCTCTCAGCAATACAATGTCCATTTCCCAGGTGAGTAAACCGAGGTGGAGAAGCTAAGTGAGTCACCCAGGGTCACAGCAGCGGTGCAGCCGGGATTTGGACACAGGTTATGGGGCACTCAGCCCCAGCCCTACATACCACACCTCAGTGAGGAGGATCAGAGGGGGCTCCCACAGGGAGTGACATCGAACTTGGCACACTGACCCCTAGAGGACCTGAGGGCCCACACAGTAGAGGGGCCGGACTAGAGACCTGAGAGACCCTGGTGCGTGACACGACTGATCCTCAGTTTCCTCCCCTGTAAAATGGGAGCAAGGCTCCCTTCTGGAAGTGGAGGCAAGTGCCCGCCCTTGGGATGCTCAGGGATGGCCGCGATCTAGGTTTTCATGCTGCAGAAACCACCTAGTGATGGAGGATGGTGGGAGCATGGGGAAAGGTGCCCCCCCCGTGCCCCCCACTGGGAGTGGCAGAGAGCCAGAATGTTCTCCCGTGGGAGGCAAGTACTCAGACTGCAGCAGAGGCAGGAATAGGTGGGCTAGGGGCTTGCAGACAAGAGACCCATCAGGATGGGGTGGGCTCCAGGGATGTGGGAGAAAGTCCGGCCCAGCAGGCAGACCCTGGCCCCAGCAGGGAATGGCCAGTCTAGAAGCGGGGTTTGGGCGTGGGGCCAGGTCACCTGATGTCTCTCTCCCCCTGACTCCGGGTTTAGACCCCAGCTCGGCCACTTGCTAGGTGTGTGACGTTGGGGCAAATCACCAAACTGCTCTGGGCCTGTGTCCTCAGGGGAGATGGCGTGTAGCTCAAACAAGACCAGCACACACCAGCACCTAGAACTCACCTCACTGGAAATGGGTGACCTCTCCTGCTGCACCACCAGGCTGCCCAGGACACAGCTCTTCTTTTCCTACGTTGGACCTAAAATAGTCTATTTGGGGAAGTACACAGCTGCAAGCATCACCGGCTGGAGACTCGCCTGATAACGTTCTGGTCTATTTCTTCTGGATGTTTTTAATTCATATTTTTTCCATACACGCACATCTTGTGGTATGCATAATGTTGCCTTTTGCTTTTTTTTTAATGTGACCATAAGCATTTTACTCTATTATTAAACATTTTCATCACTATCACTTTAGTTAAGACGATACAAAATCTTTTAATATGTAAATACAAGACTTACTGATTGTCCTCTATCTCCAGATGTTTTTTCTCCTAAACGATTCTGATAAACATCTTGTCATCTACTTATCTCTTTGTCCAAACTCTTTTTTGCCTCCATTCCCTAACGTGGAATTCCTAAGCCAACCGGCTCTTGACAAACAGGGACAAGTCACTTCCCAAAATCTTGCAGTAACTCTGACTGCCTGAAGCTGGGTGCTGGCCACACCCACGCCACCACCACTGGGGAGACCTCGCTGGGTGCACCACAGGGTCCGCTCTAAGCGCTGGTCTCTGGCTCTGGTCTTGGTTCTCCCTCCACTCCGACTCTCACCAAGTTGTCATGACAACTTCCTTCCAGTCACATGCAGAGCCAGGTGCACCCACGTGGTCCTCACCAGTCCAAATTTCAAAACAGTTGTTTTATGTTACAGTTCAAGAAAGTTCTCCTAGCTCTTACATTCTTACCGTTTCTTACAGTTGTCATTGTCATGGCTTGAGATCTTCTTGTTATAAGAAAGAAAACACCACAGACCCGAGGCTCCCTTGAGCTCCTCCCCAGGGCCTGCCCTCCTCCCTCCCTGTCCCAGGGTGGTGGTGACCTAGAGGCTGGTACATGCCCACCCTGAGTCTTCACTCTCACTGCTTACGTGTCCATAAAAAAAAAAAAAAAAAAAAAATTGGGAACTTTGTGGTTTCAAACACAATGCGTTTTCACAATGTTTTGTGTTTTCAAAATGTATGTGAATGATCTAAAGCCTAATTCTGCAACTTGCTCCTTCCCAACTGCTGCATTAAACCAAATTAAAACACAAAACAAAACACCACCACACCTCCTCTGGGGCCCCTGGAAAGCCTCAACAGGGCGGCACTGATAACGCCATTCCCCCACTTTCTTCCTTCTGGAAAACAGATTCATCCTGGGCTCATGGAAAAGCCTGGATGTTCTTAACTCCTGGAATCACGTGGTAATGAAAACGCCACATATGAAAAACTTGCAAAGGACAGCAAAAGTTGTTCCTGGAGCAAAATGTGTAATCTTAACATTTTACATTGGAAAAGGGGGCTGAAAACTAATAAGCTGAGCATCCAACTTAAGATACAAAAATCACAAAGGAAGAAGGAAGAGAATGAATGAATGAAACAGAAAAAAAGGAATGATGCAAATACTCAACCAAGCTGACATCCACTGATCTCTGATAAGAATGATCAAGAAAGGGGCATCTGGGTGGCTCAGTCCATTAAACATCTGCCTTCAGCTCAGATCATGATCTCAGGGTCCTGGGATCGAGTCCTACACCAGGCTCCCTGCTCGGCGGGGAGTCTGCTTCTCCCTCTCCCCCACGCCCTCTTTCTCTCTCTAATAAATAAATAAAATCTTTAAAAAAATGATCAAGAAAAACAAAGGGAGTCCATAAACAATATTTGGAATAAAGAATGGGTGTGACTATAGATATGTCACAGACTAAAATGCTAATAAAATAAATCTTAATGACAATACCTCTAAATATAAAACGAAATAGACACATTCCTTACTGAACTCGCAGAGGAAGAAATTAACATTTGAAGAGCCCCACGATTTAAAGCCCAAAGCAAGAATCAACCCTCTCTCAGCTGGAAGGCTCTGAGCCTGGATCATTCCAGTCTTATTCCACATTCCCCGTTTCTGAAGCCTGTACAAGACTGATGCCAAAACCAGAGACAAACTGTATGAGAAAGAAAAATGCAGCTAATCGCACTCGTGAACAAAGATGGAAAAATCCTAAACAAAATATTAGCAGCAGGACTGAACCTTTTGTACAAAGTTAGTGGAAATGTAACCACATCATAGGCATGATGGATTTATCCTGGGAATGCACGGATGATTTTACGATAGAAACCCTAAGTGTGCATCACCATACCATCAGGTTAAAGGAAATACGGTCATCTCAATAATGCAGAAGAAAATCTGATGAAATCCAACAGGATGATTTGGAACAAAACAAAGCAAAATAAAAAATTTTAGTAAACTAGAAACACAAAGACAGTTTCTTAACTTGGAAAAGTATATCTACCAAAAGCCTACAACAATTGTCATCCTTCCTGGGTGAAAACTAGAAACAGTCCCTCTACTAGGCATCAAAAACAAGAAGTTGATACTCCCTACTTCTGTTACGTCATGCTAGAGATCCTAGCCATTGCAACGAGGAAAGAAAAAGAAATAAACTACAAGACAGTAATGAACTCTGGTTATTCATCACAAATATCTATATAGAAAACCCAAAGGAGATCTACAATCAAATTATTAAAAGTACTAAGAGAATCCAAAACTATTTTTGAAGTTAAGTTTTACATAGAAAAATCAATTAGCTTTCTACACAACAGCAACAAACAGAAAATGTAATTTTAAAAAGACAGCATGCATAATACCAACAAAAAATCTTAACTACCTAGAAGTAACTCTAATAATTGTGCACAAGACTTTTATGGGAAAATATTTTTAACTGAGGTACAATACACATACAGTTAAACTCACCCTTTTTAGTATATAGTTATACAAATCTTAACAAATATATGTGGTCATGTAACCACCTCCGGAGTCAAGATAGAGAGCATTTCCATCAGCCCAGGTAGTTCCCCTGCATCCCTAGAGCTGTCATCTTGGGCCCAGCGTCCCGTGTACCCAGTGGAATGGGTATGATACTCAGGAAAACACTACCCCATACCAAGGGCTGAGCTAGGGGTAGGGTCACTGGCCACAGAGGCTAGGATGGATGAGAAAGGTTCCACTAATATACTAATGTGACCCTACTAGATAAAAACTAACACAGGTTCTCAGACACAGAGAAGTTAGGACATTTCTGTACATAGTAGGGCCAGTAACCTTCCCTACACCCATAGGTTTCTCCAACCCAGGGCCCTGATGCACAGAGAGGTCAAGTTATGTCCAGAGTCACAGCACAAACACCTTCTCCCCACCATGAACTCTTCTTCCCTGTCTTTCTCTTCAGCCCAGAACCCTGGACGTGCACAGAGGGTAATAGGGGAGGGGACGGGGGGGAGGGGACGGGGGGGAGGGGAGAGTTGAAATCATGTGAGCACTGAAGAGTGACTTTTAAACGGTTCAGAGAAATAAGGCCTCCGATGACACATCTGAATTCTATCAGACATGATAATACAGGGTAGCAAATCCATAGTGGCTGGAGTGAGTGGAAATGGGAACCATGGGAAAGCCTGGGGCTGGACGAGGTGCTGGCCTCAGTCCCAGGCTCTACCCACAAAGCATCCATGTCCCCAATAGCAGAGGTACCTGGTTCCCAGCCCACCCCACCAGGGAAGCAGGTAGTCCTCAGGGGAATGGAGGACTCCATGCCCAGTGCTCCACAGGGCCTTGGCACCAGGTCGTCGGCAGCCGGGCCTGCCCTTCCCACTGCCCTGGTCCCAGAAGAGCCCCAGAGGTCAAGGGTCAAGCCCACTCACACTGCATCCCTGGTGGCCACTGAGGTAGCGGTGGAGCCTGTCTGCAGGCTGCGTGTGTCACTGGTGGACCCTGGGCACCCTTGGGCCTCCGCACAGGGAACTTCCCACCCTCGCCTCCCAGGATAGCCGTCCCTCCACAGGTCGGCCTGTCGGGCTCCTATCTGTGTTCAGATTCCTCGGTGCTCCCTGGGAACCTACAGCCCTGTGGTGACGGCCAGATTCCACCCCTCTTCCCAACTAGATGGCAACCATCTCCAAGGCAGGAGACTGCCGGGCCCAAGCCCTGTCTTCCCCACTTCCTTGCTGTGTGACCTTAGGCGAGTCTCCGAACACCTCTGTGCCTCTGTCCTTGTCTGTAAAATGGGGCTGGTCGTAGCAGCTTACGCATGCACATTTTACTTTAGAAGATTAATGGAGGGGCGCCTGGGCGGGCTCAGTCGTTAAGCGTCTGCCTTCAGCTCAGGTCATGATCCCGGGGTCCTGGGATCGAGTCCCACATCGGGCTCCCTGCTCAGCGGGAAGCCTGCTTCTCCCTCTCCTACTCCCCCTGCTTGTGTTCCCTCTCTCACTGTCTCTCTCTGTCAAATAAATAAATAAGATCTTTTTAAAAAAATTAATGGAATGTATCCTCTCTATGTCCCAAGTGCCCAGGGTCTCAGAGACACCTGCCGAGTGACTGCCCGGGGAGGGATTTTGCCCCGGTTACCTCTCTGCGGACTCTGTCTGGTAATAAGGCAGGTGCAGAGCAGCGATGCAGTGGACCAGGCCACCTGGGTTCAAATCTCAGAGCCCCTGACTCCTTGCTGTGTGACATCAGGGAGGCCAGCAACCTCTCTGTTTCTGTGCTGTAAATGGGGTAGAAACAGATGATGCACAGCAGGTGCACAGTGAGGCCTCAAGAAGTCACTGCTCTTCCAACCATTAATAAAAGTAACTTTCCTTCCCCTCCGACTCCCCTCTCCTCCCTCCCCCCCCCGGAAAGGCTGGAGGAGGAAGGCAGGAGAGTGATGAGGCCCCGGTCAGCGCCCCAGTCAGGCGAGGCCGATAAATGGAGCCTGATCCAGGAAGGATTTAGCAAGCCCCACAAGTTGGCCCTAAGCAAAGCACCGGGGCCCGGGCGGAGGTGCTGGGGCCGAGACAGGTGAGCTGCAGACGCCCAGCCACCCCTCGCTGCCCCCTGGCGGCCGAAGCCCGCAGCACTGGCCGGTCCGCAGGTGGCCAGCCCGCAGGAGGCAGGTCCCGGGGTCACGTATGTGAGAGGCAGGTCAGCAGGCCCCCAGGGCAGCAGCCCCAGCCCAGAGGCACAACTGAGGGGATGCGGGACCGCATCAGAATGGAGCCGGCTTTGTACCCACGTGCCAGAGCCCAGGCACTCCAGCTCGGAGGGCACCTGGCTGGTGCCAATTGTGCCCACCCGCTAGGCCCAGACAGACGCCATTTGGCGGGGCACTCGGGCAGGGTAAGACTCAGCAAGGACAGCTTCTGGGAAAAGGCCACTGACTTCTTCGGCCTCCGTCAGTGAGCACACAGTGGGGACAGGCAGAGCTGGGCTCTGGACCCTGCTCCACGGAGCATGCTGACAAACGCTGCACCAGATACAGCCCTCCTCACGCGCACGGACGCGGCCTAACCATGGTAACGGTCAGTCAACTCTGGGAAAGCCTGCTGTTCCCGCCACGGAGCCCAGGACGGAGCCCAGAGCCACATCTGGACGCCAGGAGGACGCCCACCCTCTGCTGCTGGGCCCAGGAAGCAAGGCCAATGTGGAGGAACCCTAGCTGTAGGCTCCCACCCCAAATCCCCCGGCTGGGGGCGCTGGGCATGCCAGTGGGCTTCTGGAAGGCTCAGAAGCAGCCCACCCTCGGTGGGTGCCCCCTGAAGATGAGCAGGGCTGAGCCAGGCTTAGAGGGACAAGTCCAGAGACTCGCCAAATGGCGGAGGGCCAGGTTAGGTGCAGAAACAGTAAAGATGAGTATGGGCCAGCCAGTCCCCAAGGAGCCCACGGTCTGACAGACACAGACGGGACGCTTCTTGGGACAGACACTGGAAGGATGCATCAGGCTGAGGCAGACCTGGAGGAGGCAGGCAGAGGGAGCAGCAGGTGGGAAGGCCGGGCGGAGCTGAGCACGGGGAAGAGCGGGGCCGGAGGTCCTCGGTCCTGTGCGGAGTGCGAGGTGGTGGGCCACGGGCAGATGCTGGGAGGTGGACAGACCCCAGGTGAGGCCCAGCAGGGTCCTGGTACTTCCCACACATGCACCTGACCCTCCAACAATCCTGGAAGGTGAGTGATCTTATCCTCCTGCAGAGATGAAGAAACTGAGGCACAAAGAGGCTAAGAAACTTGTCCAAGGCCACCAGACTAGTACACTGATTGAGCCAGGATTTGACACCCCCACCAAGCCCAGGCCCTAATGCCTCCTGGGCAACAGGGAGCCACGGGAGGTTACTGAGTGTGGGGGTGGCTGGTTCTCTGTGTGAGGTTGGGTGGAAGGAGGCTGGGGGTGGAGTCCTGGGCACAGCCCGGGCCGCTGCAGGAAGGAGCTGCACAGGGACCACAGAGCCAAGCCATCCTCGGGTTCTGCAGTGATGGTGGCGGACATGCCGACCCTGAGATAGTGGGGGCGGCCGAGAGGACCTCATGAGGACGGGCGGCCCCCAGGTCCGCTGCACTGCCCAGCTCCCCCTGCCAGGCCAGGCCCGTGCCGCTTCCTCCCTGTTCCCCAGAGCCCCTGCCCAGGTTCAAAGCCAGGCCTTCGGGCAGCTCTGAAATGCTAGCAGTATTAGAGACACCACCTGGGACCCCCCCCCATTCCAGAAGTCCCCTTTTCACCTTTGCCAGGGGAGGCTGGCCCCAGTCATTTCTCTGTTCTGTTTTGCTGTTTCCCCGTGGGAGAAACATCCACAGAGAGCAGCCGTTCTCCTCCAGCGCCCTCGGCTCCGGGGCGCAGGGCCGTGGCAGGGCGGGGAGGCGGCGGGGGTCCTGCGCCGTGAAGCCTGCCGCGCCCCGGGCCGGCCTGGTACACACACAGCTGGGCCTGCGAGAATAACAGAATACAAATTCATATTAATGTTCTGTTTAGCCAGAATCTGAATTTCAAATCGGGCCCCACGTTGATTCAGATGGATGGCAGCCTGTCTCCCGGAACCCATCAAGGAGTGCGGGGGGGGACCCCCCGTGGCCCGCCAGCCCCGCGGGCAGCCAAGTGGCTCTCTGCGAGGGGCCCAGCGCCTCCAGCCGGGGTGCAGGGGGCTTTGTACCAAACAGGCGGCTCCAAACCCTCCCCTGGGTTTACTCGCCAGAACTCCCCCAGGAACCTCCACTTGATACGGAGGTTTGTTCAGCCTTGTTGAGGTAGAAGAGACAACATGTAAGCTATTTAAAGTGCGCGCCCTGGTGAGATGTGATACACGGCCCCGTGGCAGACCAGCTACCACACCCACCATCTCTCCCGTGGGTGTGTGTGTGTGTGTGTGTGTGAACCCCAAAGTCCCACTCTCAGCAAAGGTCAAGCCCACAACACAGCGTCATCATACAGAGTCATCCGCCCTGCTCATAGATTTACACGAGCTCCTCGGGCCCTACCCCTCTTACAGCTCAGAGCTCGTGCGCTCTGACCCACCGGCCCCCGGCCCCTGCAACCACCCTTCCGCTCTGTTTCCAGGAGTTTGACTTTGTTTCCGATTCCTCATACAAGTGACACCATGCAGGGTTCGTCTTTCTCTGTGGGGCTAATTTCTCCCGGCATCGCACCCCAGGCGCGTCCCCGCCTCTGCAGGTGGCTGAGCAGTACTGGGAGGCGGCCTCTTTCCTGTTAACTCTGCCGCCCTCGGCCGCCCGCGACACCATCTGCCCAAGAATGACACCCAATCATTCCCTCCTTCATACGTTCCCCTTCTCCCGTGGCCCCGCTGTGCCTGGCATTGGCTCACGGAAGGCTCTCCCTGCACTGGGACCACCAAAGGCACGGTCACTGTGGCCTGTTTCTCGCACCCCCTACCCACACTCTGACCTGTGGCAAGCGCCACCCTCGGGGTCTCATTCCCCTCGTCTGGGAAATGGGACAACGGTACCCGCCGCCCCTGCATGGGATCTAAGAAACATTCCATTCTCTCAGCAGCACTCGGCAAGCATTTGGCGCCCCCCGCCCCATGTTCCAGGCCCTGTGCTTGGGGCGGGGGCTGGGGGTGGAGGGGATGGGCAGGGGTGACCACCACAGTGAGCAAAACAGACCAGACTCTTTGCCCCAGTGGAGCTGATGTCCCAGAGCCGTGGTTCTCAACCAGGGGCAGTTTGTGCCCCAGAGGACACTTGGCAACATCCGGAGACATTTTTGATTTTCATAACCCTGGGGGGTCAGGGTGCTACAGGCATCCAGTGCGTGGAGAGCGGGGGTGTCCCTAAAGTCTTTAAGGCACAGGATGGCCCCAAGCAGAGAGTTATCCACCCCAGAAGCCAGTAGCGCCAGGGTCGAGAAGCCCTACTCTAGGGGAGAGACAGTAAACAAGATAGATAAGTAAAACACATAGATTGCTAGAAGGTGCTATGTGCTAAGAGTTCACACAAAGAAGCGAGAACACAGCTCCATCTGCCCCAGCACAGCAAGAATGAGGCTCAGCACGCAGGGGACGCTTCCAGCCCTGAGACCCAAAGACAGGCCGCCCGCTTGGCATCCACGCAGGCCAGAGACGGCCCCCCGCAGCTGCCAGGGGGACCCAGAGATGAATGGGGCCAGGTCCCTGCCCCCAGGGCCCCTGGGGCCCCCAGGCTAACCGAGGGAACACACACAGAGTGCTCCGAGGCTTTGGCCACCTGTGGGCCGTGTGCCCCTCAGCAGGTGGCCTGAGTTTCAATTCTCCCATATGTGAAATGGGGACAGTGGAGGGACCTACCCTGTGTGGCTGTTTCGAAGTCAAATGGGACCCGGTCATGAGAAAAGCTCAGTCAAGGGCCACTGCTGTTATGGTACACAGTGGTGCAGGGACACGGAAGGTTCTGGAACACTGGGAGGAGGGACTGGTGAGCGTGCCTTCAGGAGGCACAAAAGCTGAGAGAGGCTTCATCCGGGAAGGGGCACCCACTCCACCTTGAAGGCTGAAGTTCACCAGGTCACTAAGACCAGGAAGGACGGCCAGACACAGTGACCCGAGTAGCTGTCACCGAGGCAGAGAGTCACTGTGTGTGTGAAGATGCTGAGGGACAGAGAGGAAGAGGGCAGGAGGTGATGCTGGAGAGGGGTGTAGGGCCCAGCAGCCGCAAGGCCACGAGTACCAGGCCAAGGACCTGACTTCATCCTCACCTCCTAACTGCCCCTGACAGTCTGTTCTCAACTCAGCAGCCAAACGGATCCCTGGAAACCCAAAGCCAGACCAGACCCTCCCATCCTAAGCCACATCCTTACAAGTCTCTCACAGAGAATAGGACCTTTGAACTGGGCCTTGAAGGATGAGAAGGGGTTTGTCGCGGGGGGGGGGGGGGGGGGGGCCCTTCTGAGAGGGGTCCTGCATGGCTGCAGGGTGCTTCACACAGAGGAGAGGCGGCAAGCTGGAGTAATCCCTCACAGGCCTGGAGGTGGAAGTCCGGTGGAGCCGTCCAGGAGGGGAGCTCTGAGAGTCTGACGCTGGCGGGGGACACACTCAGCCTCCCTGCCTCCCTGGATCCTCACCCCCACCCCATGCTGGGGAGCACTCCGCTCCATTTCGAAGCGCAGAAATGGGAGCCCAGCAGGGAGGGTCTGCCCCATCCCGACCCCAGGCTGCAACATTCCCCGGCTTTCCTTTGCAGGGAACTTCTGTCGTCCTCAGGCCCTGCCAAAAGGTACATACTTTATTTGTTTTTAGATGTGTTAAGACGTAAACATGCTTCAGCGCTTGATGGTCTTTTAAACATACCTTGTCTCTGAATACCACGTTGTTGAGCTCACGGGCTCTGCGGCGCTGGTGCGTTTGGCCGGCGCTCGAGCTGTAGCTGGCTCCTCCACTCAGCGGAGGGGCCCTGGGGTGGCGTCCAGCCTCTGCGACCGAGCCAAGAGCTGCTGGGACCCTCGGCCACATGGCTCCTGCCGTCGGGTGAGACCCTCGAAGGGCCGCCGAGGTCTCGCCAAACCTGCTCCCAGACGGGCGGCACCGTCTGCCAGCACACCTGCTACACACAAGCCTTCGGATTGGCCCGCATCCTGCCAGTGATTGGTCGATGCCCAAGCATGTGATGCCCACATGGCCAATGAGAAGAGAGCTGCCCAGGGGATGCCGGCAATTTCTCTAAAGCCCAGGACTGACTAGCCCCAGCCCTAACCCCTAACCCTGACTCACTGGACGGCCGGGCCCCCGCTCTGCGTCTGCACACGACACTCCAGCCACCCCGCGTCCACCAAGAGGCCAGGCAGAGCAGCGAGATGGAAAGCCCGGTCCCTGGGTGTCCATCACAGAGCCCCTGAATGAACCACCCCTGGGACTGCCCTGCCCTGCCCTCGGACTGCAGCCTGTTACAGGGAACTGTGAATGTCCTTACTGTCTTAGTCATCCTGAGTTGCCCCGATGGCCTCCCAGCTAGTTCTCCAGCAATTCCATGACGGCTCACTCTCCTTTTTAGCAAACTTATTTTCTCGTTAAATCAGCCAGAGCTGAGGGGCGTCTGTGTGGCTCAGTGGGTTAAGCATCTTCCTTCTACTGAGATCATGATTCCGGGATCCTGGGATCGAGCCCTATGTCCAGCTCCCTGCTCAGCAGGGATCTTGCTTCTCCCCCTGCCCTTCTCTCCCTGCCCCTGTGCTTGCTCACTCATTCTCTCTCTTGCCTCTCTCTCTCTCCAATAAATTAATAAAATTAAAAAAAAAACCCAGCCAGAGTTGGTTTCAGTTACTTGCATTAGACTCTCCACTCCTGATGATGGACAGGAGAGCCTGAACTCAGGTCTGCCTGCCAACGAACAATGGGGCCAAGACAGGAATGTGGGAGTGCTTGGAGACAGAAATGAGAGAGAAGGTGGAGCAGAGGCTGGGGCTCCAAGACATAACCACCCCTTCGTGGGTGGGAACACCAAGGTCACAGCAGGGCTCAGATCTAGAGGTCACAGTGCAGGAGCACGGCGGGGTCAGATCGGGGGGGTCACAGTGCAGGAGCACAGCGGGGCTCAAATCCCAGAGGGACTGGAATGCCAAGCAGAAGAATGTTGACTGTATTTTTTAAAGTCACAAGATTTTGGGGCACCTGGGTGGCTCAGTTGGTTGAACATCTGACTTTTTAAGATTTTATTTATTTGACAGAGAGAGACACAGCGAGAGAGGGAACACAAGCAGGGGGAGTGGCAGAGGGAGAAGCAGACTCCCAGCTGAGCAGGGAGCCCGACACAGGACTCGATCCCAGGATCCTGGGATCATGACCCGAGCTGAAGGCAGACGCTTAACGACTGAGCCGCCCACGCGCCCCAAACATCTGACTCTTGATCTCAGCTCAGGTCTTGATCTTGGAGTCATGAGTTTAAGCTCCGTGTTGGGCTCCACGCTAGTCATGGAGCCTCCTTACCAAGATAAAAAATAAAGTCACGAGATTTTGACCAAAAGAGTCATCTAGTGAAACTGGCACTTTACGGGGTTTGCCTAGATGTGGTAGTTAGGGGTCCCAGAGGGGGGCCCGGCATCCTCCAAGCTTCCACCAGGAGCCAGCCAGGGCCCACACCGTCTCAGCTGGTGCACAGAGCTCCCCTCCGAGGGAGAGCGTGCTCTCTTTTCCAGATGAGTCCTGGGGCACAGATCAGGGAAGCCACTGCTCCAGCCCCCAGCTGGTCAGGAGTACAGCAGGAATTCAGAGGGACACCAAACCCGGGGCGTTTCGCTGCATCCTGCCGCCCCAAGCGTTAGGAGAGAGTTAGCACCTAGGTGTGATACTGCCCAAATCACCCACCCTGCTCCGGCAGGGGGAGACCCCTACACCGACCAGCAAAATGTTTCTGTAATTCTTAAAACCCAGGGACTGGGTCACTAGCTTTAAAGCCATCTCGTCTCACGGCTGCCA